TGGTCTAGGGGCAGAAGTCTCCCCTTTTATGTTGGGTGGAGATGGGTTTTGGAAACACCCTGTATAAAGTAACAACCTCATCTTGAGTCTCATGGTCCTCCATAGCTAACTTATGATAATGTATCTGAGTAGGTTTTGCTAACAAATTATTTATCTGTTGTATCACAGAGTTAGTCCGCCTATTTGAGGGGTTATCTCATTCACACATTTGGTTGAACACTTGACATAATAGAACTCTACAAAGTCAATTCCAATAAGCCAAATAAAAAGATTTGTCCACATTTAAAAGTAGGGATTGCCCCTGAAACCATATCTCGGAGACGGCACTTGTAAACAATTGGAAAATTGTTTAAAAGCATCTTTTAGCTTAGTAGATTGGATCGAGAAATCCTGCCTCACTGGTGAGCTGGGTTACTTCTCCTGATAAATAAGAATGGGCCTTATTTTCCTGAAAGATTGAAGTAATTAAGGCAAAAATAAATTACCTAGATCAGCGCTTCTCAATCTCCTACCCTTGTTAGAATTCTCCAGAGAGCTTTTAAAAATTACAGATCCAGGTCTAGCCTAAACAACGTGGGCTCAGGCACTCTCCTTCCAGAGAGCTTCCCTCGGTGATTCTAATTCATAGTTAAGACTAGAACACAGATTTGGTCAGTTAAAAGAAAAAAAAAATCAATCAATCAATTAGAGACAATTCATGTTTTTGAGACAAATAGTGGTTTTGCCTTAAGGTTACTAGTTTTAAAGTTACCAGAGTATTCGGTTGCTGATTCCCAATGCAAACATTTTCAGGACAGCTAAGCCCCTTCATAGACTATTACCAACCTGCTTTTCAGGTTCTACACGGTTTTCATCCTGTGGAACGTAAGACCTTCAACAATTCCATGAATTTTTATTCCTTCACTTTGTATGGCTCTTGTCTTCCTTTGGTTGGACAAGAGGCTTCCTGCTAAAGAAAAGCTACTCATTGTATAAAGTACAGACTGGTAACATGGGGTTAAACCCACTATTTTATATGAACTATTTTCTATGGATTTAATGTGTGTCTTCCAACAGAGCTAGTCACGTTTCCTAGTAACACGTGTATATAGTTAATATATACTTCTCTTCAAATTGTATCCACTCAAGTATTTAAGGGTCACATTGCTTAGTAAGTCCAATGTCAACACTTGGCTCCAGAGGAGGCATTTAATTTAGAATTATTTCTCATAGACATCTGAGTTCTGTTTTGAACCATTTCAAATTCTAGTATCTTATTCCAACCACATGAATCATTTTAAGGAAGACCACAACGTACTTTCGCCTCATTAAAATAGGGCCATTCCTATTTCAAATAAAGTGGAGATGTTTAAGATACTAAAATGTGCATGTTCTTTTGGTATGATGACTTTTTACATTTATATGCATTTCCAACGGGGAAATAAGCCGGTATTATTTCTTTTTCTGTCTGCCCCCTTTCAACTGGGATGTCTTAGGAAGCCAGCTGGCTCGCTCCTTGATACCCGATAGCCCTCTAAGACTCTTTCTGCGGCTCAGCATTTTCCTCAAGACAGGAGTCTTGAATTCTCTTCTTCCTCAAGATACACATATCCTTTCAAAGGGTCCAGAATATTTCCTGCCTTTGTCACATGACTGCCTATTAGAGTTACTATCAAAAAGGCTGGGGAAAGAGATCTCTCCTTCCACAGCAGAGGAAAAAAAATCACACTCTGAGCTTGCTCACCAGCCGGAGGGACAAGTAGCGTTTTAAGTGAAAACAGAAATTGAGGTTAATAGTAAAATCTTATCTACTGGTTTCTTTAAGTTGTCTTCCTTCTTTCTTGACGCTGTGATTTGGTGAAAGATGCAGACAGAGGAGAGATTAAGTGAATTGTCTCAATTTAAACTCATAAATAAGGAGACTGACTAGCCTATCAGGTGGTTGGTCTTGCAGTCTCACGATACGGTTGCAACTCAACAAGGACGTCCTTCAGGATACTTAGGGAAAATCTCCATCATGTCCAGTAACGCCCAGCCCGTGGGAACTGCTTCTCTCCTCTGAAGTCTTCACTCATCCTGACCTTAGATCTTCCATCAGGCTCAGTGTGGGCCGAGGCTGTTGGCAATGTCCCTGCTGGGTGCGGACTGCAGGCCGACCACTGGAGGGCGTCTGGACGCTTCCAAATTTCTCCGAAGCGTCTGGAAACCCCAGGCCGAGCTTTGGAAAGCGCAGGATTGGAGAATATATTTGATTTTATTCGCCTAATATGTAAAAGAGAAAAGACGCAGTGTTGCGAGGAAAAAAAAAAGGTAAACTGCTTGCTTTCTTGGGTTCGGCCTTCTTGACAGGCCGTATATACTAGAGAACAAAATAAAAAGCCTGGGCTGCAGGTCTCGCAGCATCGGGTGTGGGGCTGGCTGCCAGTGCGCAGGACCACAGGGGACCGGTCCCGAGGCGCCAGGGCTCTTCGCTCCCAGGAGATCCAGCTTGGCTGGCCTCAAAGGGCAGGGGCCCTGCAACCTCCCGACCAGCCCAGGAACGCATGGCCTTTTTCGTAATAAAGGCGTTTCCTTCTCTCCCACTATTTCCCTCCCTTTTCTTCCCAAACCGAGTTTAGTTGAAGATTATTTATGTGGGGTGTGCGTGTGCATAGCGAACAATCCACGGGATCCGCATGGAAAAGGTGTAAAGTACAGACGGGCTCGCGCGCTGCATTTATCTCCTTCCAGCTGAAGGTTCGCCCTGAATTGTAATCACTTTAAACTGAGATTTCCCCCCGACTTTTCAAAACGTGCTTTGAGAGCATCACTTTAAAGAAAAGTCCCATTTCCTGCCCCCAGGCCTTTAAATCTCGGGTAGAAAGAGGGTTGAAAGGCACAAGAGAGATGCTCAGATTTCCAGATGACCCGGCTCCGGGTAGTGTGCGGCGTGAAGAACCCAGCGGAGGTTTACAGGAACTCCGATTTACTTAGGGCTGCTTCAGCCTGTCCGCGCAGACTTCATGTCACCTGAGCGGTCCCAGAAGCAATTTTCGGCTCTCCTTTTGGAGTGGGAGCCAGTTTCTTTTCAATCGAAAGACCTCAATCCCAAGTAAAAAGATGCCAAATCACTCTGAATCCAGACGCACTTCAGCAGCCAAAGGGTTACTCGTGCTGCCGGGCTGGGCCGTGGAGAGGGTGCCTCGGCACTCTCAGTAATTCAATTAGTCAGGTTTCAGGAAGGTGGGGCGGGGGTGGGGGTGGAGGCGTGGGGAGGGAGGAGATGAGGAAAACGCCTCTTTCTCCCGGAGCAAACCAATCCGGTTAGAGAAAAGAGAAAAAAAAAAAAAAAACCCGATCTGTAAGCAAACAGCAGGCCTCTCCCTGACTGGTTACTCCAACCACCCCCCACCCTCCCAAGTAAACTGCATGGAGGTGGTGGTGGTGGTGGTGGTGGAGGGAGGGGGGAGTCGAAGCGGAAAAAAAAGCAGCCCACATGACCTGGGCCGCGGAGGCAGCAGCGCCGGCGGCACCTCCCCCTGCTCGGTCCGGAGCTCACCCCCGCGCTCGCGCCGCCTGCCAACCCAGTGCCCCGCGGAACACGCCCGGGCGGAGCCCCCCGCCCGCCCACGTCCACGTCCACGCGCGCGGCCTCGCGTGGTGCTGAGGCTGCTGCCGCCTGGGCCGCCGCGGCAGTCGGCTTTACACGCAGGTCATTAACGAGGGGGCGTGCCCGAGGAGATTTTTTTCCCATAAAGCATTTTTTCGCTCCTTTTGCTTTTTTTCTCCCTCTTCTTTTGCAAAACTGACTTTTCCCCCCTTTCTACTTCTCGCCAGTCTTCCCAACCTCTCCAGACTGCTCGCGCCGCTGCACTCAAGTTTATTTTCCCGCCTGGGCAGAGGTTTTAGGATTCGGTCGGTGGCTTTCACCTCTCGTTACTGCTGTGCCTAAGGCGGGAAGGAGGAGGCAGCTCCGGATCGGGAAGGTTTTCTGATGTAGTCATCGGGGAGGTGCCTGCAGCTCGTGTGTGCTCCCTCTCCCCTTTTCCCTCCCGGTTTAAAACTGATTGATGAATCTCTACAAGTTGCTGGGGTTGGGGCCGGAGCGGTCGGAGTCCCAGGGACACTTCTGAGAGCTCCCCCGGGGCTCTGGGCACGCCGTGTGGAGGGTACAGCCTCGCTCCCGGAAGGCGAGCGGAGACTGACATCAGCCCATCCCGGACTTGGAGGGCTCCATCCGAAAGTGATTGTTTCCCCTCCCGCTTCCCAGCCCAGCAGCTGGCTTGGCGTCGCCCTGCAGGTTTGGGCATCCCGGCCCCGCCTGGCTGGCTGGTTCGCAACCTCTGCTCTTCATTCACTCCGCGGCACCCACACCCAGCCAAGACAAGCAAGCAGGAGAAATCCCCGACTCAGCCAGCGCCCGGGGGTGCCATCTCGCTCTGCCTCTGCGGTCCGACTCCTCTGGGGGACCTGCTGGAAGACGTGAAGAGCCAAACTTTTCTTTGAGCGTTTTCGTAGCAAGACCCGCTCCTCCTCTCCTCGCCTGAGCGCTCGGCTGCGGCTTTGGGCAGTTCCAAGACGCCGGCAGAGCCCGGCTCGCGGATCCGGATCGCAACCCTTTTCTGCGCACCTCCGGCTACCGCAGTCCTCAGGACTCCTGCGAGGCTTGAGGGGGGGTCGCCCGGCCAAGGCGCAGAAGGGAGGCTCCGGACAGCTTCCAGCCTCCTGGGGCTACGAGCGTGAGGACGCCCTCCCACCCTCCGCCCCCCCTCCACACAGCGCCCTCCTCCTGCAGTTTCTCTCCGGCCGCCAAAGTAACTTGGAGCAAAGCGGGGCGCACGGCGTGGGCCCAGCGCGGCGGAGGAACCCCGTGCAGACCGCGGGGCCGACACTGAGCCGGGCCCGGCGGGCCGGTGTATGTCTCCCCGCGGCCGCGGCGCTCAACTCCCGGTGACTGTGCAGCGCGCGCCGCCGCCTGCCCCGACCCGCGCTGCCGCCGCCCGGCCCCGCACGCACCTCCCTCTCCCGGGGTGACCGGCCTGCAGCCGCTGCCGGAGACACAGCTCCGCACCCCTTCCCCCGCCCTCGTCGCCGCCACCGCACACACGCACGCGTCTCTCTGTCTTGTGATTCTTCTCGCCTCCCGAGCCCTTCAGTGGGGGTGCGAGTTTGTCCCCCCCCCCCGCCCCAGCCCACTGCCTTCTTCTCTTCCTCCTCCTCCTCTTCCTCCCGCACTCGCCGCGCGCCTCTAGCCCCTTCATCTTATTTATTCCTATTTATTTGGCGTCCGCTCTTTTCGTCTGTCCCTCTCTCTCCCTCCCCCTGGATCCCCGCTCTCTCCCCGGAGTGGCGCGTCGGGGGCTCCGCCGCTGGCTAGGCGTGATGTTGCACGTGGAGATGTTGACGCTGCTCTTTCTGGTGCTCTGGATGTGTGTGTTCAGCCAGGACCCGGGCTCCAAAGTGGTCGCCGACCGCTACGCCGTCTACTGGAACAGCAGCAACCCCAGGTAAGGTGGCCGGGGCGGGGGCGCCGAGAGCTCCGGCTCCGCGGGCCTGGGCCGGGAGCAGGGAACACGGTGGCCAGGAGCGGCGCGCACCAGCCGCAGGCAGCGCGCGCCCTCCGAGCCTGCGTCGCCAGATGCCGCTGGCCGCCGGGCGCCGGCGGGAAGCGCTCGCTCCGCGCCGCTCTTTGTTAAGCCACAGCGGCAGGGCCGGCGGCTGCTCGCAATCCCCAGGGCTGCTTTGAGCCGCTGCCTCCGACCGAGTGCAGGGAAGACACGGGAATGGGCGGGAACCCTGGACCGGGGACACCGCTTCCCAGCCCGGGAGATTGGCCCGCACCTCCGGATCTCGGCTCAGGGCTTGGGTGCTGATAGCCTCGGGTGCGTACCGCCGAGAGGTCCTCCCTGGAGCCTGGGGGGGGGGGCGCAGGGCTGGGCCCGAGACCCTGCTAAATAACATCAAAGTTTTAAAAAATTTTTATTTAATTTTGTTTTTATTTAAACAAAATTCCTTCTTTTCCCTCCTTGCGCGCATAGAGAGCGCGCACGGGTTAGAGGGAAGTGAAGAGGGTAGGTGGGTGGGTGAGTGGAAAGCGGAAGCTTTAGGGTTTAATGTTCTTTTTAACGGCGAGATAACTGTTAGGTGACCCCCCACCCACACCCACACACCCACCTACCGCCAAGTCGGTCTAGGCCCATCACGCTTGGCCGTAGAAAGGATTCTCTCAGCTCCTGTACCCTCCTTTTACCCCCTCAATGGGCTTAAGGTGCCAGAAAGTTTGATCGAATGCCGGGTTACGTCACGAGTGCAGAGCGAGCCGCTGGAGTTGGCGAGCTGGAAGTGGGAGCCTTCGCCCCGGGGCCTGGCGCTGCGCAGCTGGAGGGACGCGAGTGGTTACTTGCGACAGTGTCTCAGCGACCCCAAAGCCTGCGGGCTCGGCGGGAGGCAGGAGTCAGGCGCCTGGGACTGCCCTAGCGCAAGCTCTGGGCCCCAGCCAACTGCAGCTACACTGTGATCCTGGACCCCGGATAGGGGAGGAGGGTCGTCCCCATTCTGGTCCAGGCTGCTCCCAAACCTTACTTTCTCCCGGGTCTGGACCCAGCAGCCGGGCCCGGGCCCTCTGGGCCCACATTGCTCTGCTTCCAGCTGTGGGCTGGTGGTATTGGTGTGTTGCTCTGGGAGGGAAGCAGTGTCGCTTGTACCTCGGATCACAGGTTTTTCTCAGGGCTGAAGTGGAAGTTGCGAGGAAAGAGGCGGGAGGCCGAGGACTGAGCCTGTGGTTGTGGTGCATCTAAAGCTCTAGGCGAGGGGGTCGACGAGCACCTCCAATTCAGCTTCCCACCAGCCCTTTCTAGCGCCTTCAGCTTTCCCTCTGTTATGAATTCAGGGGTTTTCCCGCTTGATGAGGGTCATCAGGGATGAAGAGCAGATTTCTCCAGGAACGCTCAGGATTGCCTATCCTAGGGAGAAATCCCTCCGCCCTGTTACTCCGGCCCAGTCACACCCAGGTAGACTAAAGAACTTGCCTAGCACAAGTGGAGACATCCCTGAAAGTTTGCGTTTTTAATAAAAAGGGTGTCCTGCGGGTGGGAATTAGAATGGGAAGCTGTTTCCTCTTTGACATGTCACTAGCCACTATTAGGAAAAGAGAAAGAGACGACGGTCTGCCAGAGAATATGCCTTTTATTAAAGCTGACAAGACAAATAGAGCAAGCTTTCCATTTGCGATGGTGTTAAAAGCAAGTCTAATTACGTTGCTTGGGGTAGCCACCTTTGGACTTTACTGAGCAGTATGTATGCAGCATCAGTTTATATTTTTAAACTTAAATGATTTATCCAATAAAGTAGAGCCAGTTATTTGAATTTGGGACATTTTGCTCTTGTTTGTCACTCACAAAAATTCAGTGGGATCTTTTTGTTCATTAGAAAGGTGTCTGTCTCAGTTTGTCTTAGGTTAGAGAGGAGGAAGCATCAGCTAGCCTGATCTCCCCCGCTCTTCACCTGTGAAGCTAGGCTCAGTAAGTTGCCAGGACATAGTATCTCAGTTTTAGGCTTTTGATACCGTTGTTTGGTTTAAGATTAGCAGTCTGGTTTGAGATTAGCAAATTGATTTTTGTCATAGGTCATGTTTTTTAATAGATCTGCTCTTCCTAAAGAAAACCCTTTCTCTCAGGATGCCAAGGTAGCTTTGAACCTGTTCAGTTATAATCTGTAGACTTTTGAAAGACCAAGTATAGTCTTAGTAGTCTTAAACCAGTATGCTAATTTGAAAGCTGTGAAAATACCTCACTATTTGATCATAGGCAGTTTGATGGCATCCCAAAAAAAGACTCAGGGACATTTCTCAGATCCAACATTTAATATTCTTACCGATTTATGGAGGCCTTTATCATGGTATGTTGTTGCGTTAAAACTTTCTTTGAAAAGTAGGTAGTGATATGTAGTTCTAATTCAGATTTATTCATTGAAATATATTTTTTATGCATCAGGAAAAGTCAGTTTGATGTAACCAAAAAGGACAAATACAAAATAAGTAATTTCAAAGAAAACCTAACACTTCGTTACAGAGATAGAAAACAATTTCATAGAACTTGTATGGGTTCATTTAGTATCATAGATTAAATGTGCATTTTCATCGACATTATGGTTTTGTGTTGTTAGGCCTGACTTTGGGCCTTCGATAAGATGTGTCAAGATTTTGCTAAATTAATAATGTAATAAAAAGACCCCAGCCTCTGGAAAATAAGTAGACAATATTACTTGCATCTTAAATTCATTTTTTACTTAGGAGCTTAGTGAACACATTAAATGGATAGGAACGGATAGTTTCTGTCCACAAAGTAAATGGAGTAGATTCTGCTTGAAATTGTGTTTATTTAGATTGAAATAAAATCAGATAAATCTTGGTCATCGTCATTAGACAGCTCACTCTGTACAAGTTCTTGAAGTCACTTCTGTGGCAGGTATAATTTTGTCTACTGTATGGACTATCTTTAATGACTTTGTGTTGAGGTCCTAAGTAGCTATAAGTCTGTTATTTCAGGGAAATATAAACTCATGTACTGTCCAAATGGTTCCAGTTAGAACATGTCTCCTTGCTTGTGACTCCGGGACAATGGATATTTAGCTCTTAACTGTTTCAAACTATTATTACCTGGACTTATTGAACAGTAAACAGAGTTGATTTTATGCATCGAATTGGCACAAATCTGTGAAATAGTGACTGAGAAAGAATCACTGTAAATAGGATTACTCCATCACATTTGCCAAAATGCATCCTTCACCTTCCTCAAATTTGAAGGCTGCTGGAGTTTCACCTAAAAGTGGACAATCCTCTTTTAAGGGTCGCCCTGCATTCTGAGCTGGACTGTAAGAAAATCATTTGCATGTTGAAAATCTAACTGAAAGAGTTTATTTAAGTTAAAACTATAGAAAGCTTTAAAGGAACTTTAAAAAGATAACTTACAGTAATAAAACTTTATTTGCATTCCTCCTTGGTAGCTATCCCTATACACATAGACGTGGCTTAATATTAAGAACACATTCATTAGCCTGAAGATTGCTGAAAACAGTTTGATGCTTCCAAAAAATACTCTTGTAAGCACTTGTGTATCCTGAAAAGTTGCTCTTCAGTTTCTCTATTTGCCAAAATGACTCCGGAGTAGTTAAATATATCTTCTGATTTGTATTGTAGACAAGACAGTAAAAAATTGATGGTTCCAAATATAACCGACACTCGCTCTCCTCAACCTGTGTCCTGCTAAGGTTTGAATATTATCAGCCTGAGAGTTTATTTTCTTAATATGAGTAATATCATGAAGACTTTACTGAGCACAACCAAATTGGTTTCTGTTGTTGGGTTTTTTCTTTCTTTTTGTTTTTTTTTTTTCATTTTTTTGAACTATATGAAGCATCTCAAGTAAGAGTAGTAGCTCGCCATTTAGTTGTGTCCATGTGTAGAGTTCTAGAGAGATAAGAATCGTGGTTTAGCAGTCCCGACTGCTTCCTTATGTGAGGAACCGAGGCACATAGCGAAATAGAGAAAAGTACTAATATTTTTCTAAGAATATTCCCTTGAGTACTTTTCCTTCAGAATCCAGTGGTTCATGTATGCCAGAATGCTGGCACTGTCCCTTTTCCATTGACAAATAAATGAAGTCATCAAGGTTTAGATCTAGGAACTAGTTGTGAGGAGAGAGGAAAGGTTTATTTTAATTTCCAGGGGGCTCTCTGGCTGAGTTTGTAAAGGATTTCTTTATTTTTGAAGTTCAAAAATTTTAAAGTAATATCTGTATGTTCAGAACAGAAATCTTTTTTTTTTTTAAATAAATGGCATCGTGTGAAATCTAACTCGGAGTTTCAGTGCCATATAATGTATCATTTTATTAGCTGTGTTGGAATAATTTTGTCATTTTGATATTTATATCAGAGTTATGTAAGCACTGTACATTAGACTGCTATTCTGTGATCTTACCTATGTCCATTAATAAGAGATCTGCCATCTGTACTGGCCGCTCTCCCTTCTCTCTCCTTTAAATATAGATACTTACAGAAGAAGTCTGCTTCTTGGTTTTTGGCCTGTCTCTCCTGGAATTTTACAGAGTTAAACTAGCTAGTGAGCTTATTATTTCCAAGTCATTGTGTGCGTTAGTTTGTATAGTCATACTAAACTCTGAGAAGGCGTATACTGTCTGTGTTAAGGTGACTGGCATGTCGTGATGCGTGAGGTAGCTGTATAGGATCACTCAGCATTTACAATATGAAACCAATGACATTAAACTGGGAGTGATCAAAGATACCAGGACAGTGGTTAGTAATTCACACCTTTTGTTTTGTGACTTGAGTGGTATTAACCAGGGTATTTTGTGGCTGATACAGGGTAGAGCTTTCTGCCTGTGAAAACAGGCGGGTTTAGATGGAACCCTTAGCTATTTGGGGCAAATTAACTTCCTGGATTTTCTGCTGTTTAATCTTGCAAAATACAGGCATTTCATTGCAGTCTCCC